TCATGACCTGAGCCAAAGGCAGATGCTTAACCGACTGAGCCACCCAGGTGTCCCAGGCAACCAGTTTTTTAATATTTTTTTTTTCAGAGACAGTCCATGTTTATAGCACATAGGCTATAATATATATTTATTACAAGGTTTCTATGAAAAGCCACAAAAGTGAAAAAATGGATGAATGTCTACATTCTCCTATTTCTTTTTTTCTGATCTTCCTCCTTTTTGGAAATTATACATTGGCATAGACTTCAGGGTACAGCCAATGCTTGAAGTTCCAAAGCACAGAAAGGGGCTCCCGGCTGGCTCAGTCAGTAGAGCATGTGACTCTTGCTCTCAGGGTCATGAGTTCAAGCCCCACATTGGTCATGGAGCCTACTTTAAAAAAAAATGATAAAATAAAAAATAAAACAATCCTTAAAAATAAATAAAGTGGCGAGAGAAAGTCTTAGAGACCATTTGAACCAGTTATTGTCAGAGATGCCGCATATAGTGACATAAACCCAACAGGATTCATGTTAGGTGGCACTATTAATAAATAGAAACAATACAACATAGCAGAGTGCTTAAGATTATAGGCCCTCTTCTAAGCAAAATACAAAATCCAGAAACCATAAAGGAAAAATTAATAAATTTAACTACATCGGGGCGCCTGAGTGGCTCAGTCGTTGGGCGTCTTCCTTCGGCTCAGGTCATGATCCCGGGGTCCTGGGATCGAGCCCCACATTGGGCTCCCTGCTAGGCGGGAAGCCTGCTTCTCCCTCTCCCACTCCCCCTGCTTGTGTTCCCTCTCTCGCTGTGTCTCTCTCTGTCAAATAAATAAAATATTTTTTTAAATAAATAAATAAATAAATTTAACTACATCAAAAGTGGAAATTTCTCCCCTGGAAAAAAAATTTCACAAAGAAAAAATGCCAACTATGACAAACAACATTTGCGGCTTATATAATAAATAATAGACCTTTTTTTTAATATATAAAGAGCTCTTACAAATCAGTAAGGTAAAGTTCAGTTACACATACCAGAAACAATATGTAGTTTATTTATTAGATGCAAATTAGAAACAGCATGATGTTATTTTTCACTTAGCAGATAAGCAAAGATAAACAATTTACAGTACCTAGCACTGACAAGAATATAATGTCATGTGGAGATGTAGATTATTGCAACTCTCTGGCCACATCTGTCACAATTTCATGTGTGCATTACCTTTTGACCTAGAGATTCCATTTCTAGATATTTGTCCTATAGATACACTTGTTCATGTCTGCAAAGACAGAAAGGCAGAGTGTTTATTGCAGCAATATTTGCAATATCAAAAGGTAAAAAAATGAGTTTCATTGGCAGATAAATTGTGTGACATGAATCCTATGCAGGCATTTTTTAGAAAGTATTTCTGTATGTGCCAAATATACAAAAGATCTTCAAAATATGATAAGTCAGTGGGGATGATGGCATATAACAGCATAAAATATAATTCTGTGGTTTTAAAGCGGGGGGGGAGAAGGCACATACATATGTATGCTTATAAATACCTAGAACATTTCTCAATTAAGCATGATATCCTCTGAGAAAGGAAACTAAGAGCCTGGAGTAGAAGAGAGACTTTTTTTTTTTTAAGTAGGCTTCACGCCCAGTGTGGAGTCCAGCGCAGGGCTTGAACTCACGACCTTGAGATCAAGACCTGAGCCGACATCAAGAGTCAGACACTTCAGGACTTCAAGCTCTATTACAAAGCTGTCATCATCAAGACAGCATGGTACTGGCACAAAAACAGACACATAGATCAATGGAACAGAATAGAGAGCCCAGAAATGGACCCTCAACTCTATGGTCAAATAATCTTCGACAAAGCAGGAAAGAATATCCAATGGAAAAAAGACCGTCTCTTCAACAAATGGTGTTGGGAAAATTGGACAGCCACATGCAGAAGAATGAAACTGGACCATTTCCTCACACCACACACAAAAATAGATTCAAAATGGATGAAAGACCTCAATGTGAGACAGGACTCCATCAAAATCCTTGAGGATAACACAGGCAGAAACCTCTTCGACCTCAGCCGCAGCAACTTCTTCCTAGACACATCGCCAAAGGCAAGGGAAGCAAGGGCAAAAATGAATTATTGGGACTTCATCAAGATAAAAAGCTTTTGCACAGCAAAGGAAACAGTCAACAAAACCAAAAGACAACCGACAGAATGGGAGAAGATATTTGTAAATGATGTATCAGATAAAGGTCTAGTATCCAAAAATCTATGAAGAATTTATCAAATCCAACACCCAAAGAACAAATAATCCAATCAAGAAATGGGCAGAAGACATGAACAGACATTTCTGCAAAGAAGACATCCAAGTGGCCAACAGACACATGAAAAAGTGCTCAACATCACTTGGCACCAGGGAAATACAAATCGAAACCACAATGAGATACCACCTCACACAGTCAGAATGGCTAAAATTAACAAGTCAGGAAACGACAGATGTTGGCGAGGATGCGGAGAAAGGGGAACCCTCCTACACTGTTGGTGGGAATGCAAGCTGGTGCAGCCACTCTGGAAATGGAGGTTCCTCAAAAAGTTGAAAATAGAGCTACCCTACGACCCAGCAATTGCACTACTGGGTATTTACCCCAAAGATACAAATGTAGTGATCTGAAGGGGCACATGCACCCACATGTTTATAGCAGCAATGTTCACAATAGCCAAACTATGGAAAGAACCTAGATGTCCATCGAAAGATGAATGGATAAAGAACACGTGGTATGTATATACAATGGAATATTATGCAGCCATCAGAAAATGAAATCTTACCATTTGCAGTGACGTGGATGGAACTAGAGGGTATTATGCTAAGCGAAATAAGTCAGTCAGAGAAAGACAAGTATCATTCTCACTGATATGTGGAATTTGAGAAACAAGGCAGAGGATCATAGGGGAAGAGAGGAAAAAATGAAACAAGACGAAACCAGAGAGGGAGACAAACCATAAGAGACTCTTAATCTCAGGAAACAAACTGAGGGTTGCTGGAGTGGAGGGGGGTCGGGGGATGGGGTGTCTGTGTGATGGACAATGGGGAGGGTATGTGCTATGGTGAGTGCTGTGAATTGTTTAAGACTGATGAATCACAGACCTGTACCCCTGAAATTTATCAAACTCAACACCCAAACTTGTTTAAGACTGATGAATCACAGACCTGTACCCCAAATTTATCAAACTCAACGCCAAATAATACATTATATGTTAATTAAAAAATTAAAAAAAAAAAGAGTCGGACACTTCACCGACTGAGCCACCCAGGCCCCCCTCCCTGAGACTTATTTCTTAATGTGTACTTTTTTCTACTGTATTACCTTTTCAGTAAAAATAAACAAATAAGAACACAGGCTCTGGATGTTTAAAATCTGGCTCCCCCATATTTTTAGCTGAGTAATCTTGGGATGTTATGTAACCCTCTAATCTTCTACATTTTCATCTGTAAAATGGGGCTAATATCTTTCTCATAAAAATTGGGTAATATATGAAAAATACTTCATACAGTACCTGAGGCAAAAATAGTAGCTTTTGAGGCAAAGAGCCCTAGACCAGAAGTAATTTCACAAGGAGCCGCAGACAAGTCATGTGACCCCCTGTGACCTAGAGTCTTCAGTCTCTAGTTTGGCCAGCTGATCCCTAAGGCCTCTTACTTGAGTTTACCTGTTCTTTTGAAACCTGTTTCCTGCTAAAAGTTGTAACTGCAAAGCCAGGAGGATTTTGGAGGAAATGAGGAGCTCTGGGGAGTAGGTGCTTTGGCACCCTCCCAGTTCCATACCAGAGCCTAAGATGAGAGGATTGGAAGTGAAAGATGGGTATGGCTCTATCTACAGAGCCCTCCCTTGTTTCCTGTTGCAACCTTGCAGTTGAAAAATAAAATTATAGTGACTTGAAGAAGGGCATGGAGATGGAACTGGGGTGGAAAATTTTTGAAGCAGTGGCAAGGAAAAGCATGCTTGCTGAAGAGATAGCCTTCTGGATCTCATAAGATAGATGTCTGCAGATGGGTGTCCACAGAGGGCTTTGTGGGACCTAGAGAGGAAGGTGCTGGTAATTATGCTCTATCTGGGCACCGTGGGTCACCCTATCCGGGCACCATGACCTGTCTGTGGTCCTGAGTTCTGTGCCATGCTTTGGGACTGAACGAAGGGGCCTGGGATCTCTACTTTGGTCTGGGGATAAAAGGGAGTAGCAGCCCCCAAGGCCAGTATAGTGAGGTGTCAGGGGTCACGAGAAACCCAAAAGGAAGCCTATCTCAGTACAGCTACCCTCCTTCCATCTGAGAAGGCCATGCATAATCTTCTTCAGGGAGCCTGTGAGTTTCCTCACAGAACTTCTCAGGAAGGAGACGGTAGATAGGTCGTTCTGAGAAATTTTGGCACAGTACACAGATCTTCATGACGCTGTCTCTCTCATACAGGTGCTGAGGGATGTCCTCAAGGATCTCTACCACCTGCTGAAATACGTGGTGCGCTTGGAGCCTGATGACGTGGCCAAGCTCCATGCCCAGCTGGCCCTTGAAGAGCTGGATGAGATAATGAGAAATTTCCTCTTCCCACCACAGAAGCTGGAGAAAAAGATTGTGGTTCTGCCATAGACCTGGCTCAGAGGACATCAAGGAGGGATGGCTTTATGTCTCTGGCCGTTTGCGTCTTCAGGCTGACCTTCCTAAAGCATCTATTTAGCCATCCTGCACCCGGCCTGAAGCATGTGTCCTTCGAAGACAAAAGATTACAAATCTCATTTATCTACACATTTTTCACTGTCCTATAGCATTTAGAGAAAGAAGTCTACTTGATGGAAGTATATTTTTAACACGACTGGTAGAATTTGACTAACGGACCTTTCTTTTCTTGTCACTTGAACTGAAGAGGTTGATCACCCTCCTGAGTGGTACATGTGTCACATATCTTGATATTCTTCCGTGGTGAGACTGTTCTTCCTTGTGATAATGAGGAACAGCCAGAGCTAGTCATCCTCGGCTGATCAAGAGGCAGATCAGAGCACAGAAATGCATTTGGAGGCAGGGAGGGGAAGGAAACTGTTATCAAAAGAGGCAAAATGGAATAAATTTATTTTAGCTAGAAAGAACAGGTCTGAATCTGGTCTTCTGCTATGGAGCTGGAAAGCTGTGGCATTGAGGAGGATTTGATCTCCAGAAAAGAGAGTCGAGCTTGTTGAATCTTCCAGAGATGAAGGGTAAGCCCTTTGTTTGTCCTCCTGAGCTATTTTCTTAGCTCCCTCTGCTACTGTTTTCATTAAGTTGCCCTGATTATAGGACAAAAGAGCCACAGACATCTCAGATGAGAGAGTTTATATCGTGCATTCAGTCCTCTGCTCCTTTAGGGAGGAATGCTTAGACAGTGGGTTGATTAAACGTGTACTGGAAAGTGTGTAGCATATTGGTGACGTGATGCCAAGTTTATTGAAATCATGTCAGATGTAGCACTGTGGACTCCTCTTGATTTATTTATATATTTTGGCCACTGAATTTGATTGCAGCTAAAAGAGAAGACAGAAGGGCGCCTCAGTTGGTTAAGCGCCTGACTTCGGCTCAGGTCATGATCTCAGGGTCCTGGGATCGAGCCCCGCATCGGGCTCCCTGCTCAGCGGGGAGCCTGCTTCTCCCTCTGCCCCTCCCCCTGCTTATATTTTCTCTCAAATACATAAAATCTTAAAAAAAAGAGAGAGAGAGGAAACAAAAAGGAGAAATAGGCTGACTGCTTCGAACAAACCTTTCCTATTGTCAACACCTGGACAAGGCTAACCCAGAATTTCTTGACCAGTCCTCAGCTTTGTGGGGCTAGGTAACAGAATTTTATCTCCACTGCCTGGGGTAACCAGGCCTAGGGCAACCAAAACACAACTTCCCAAAACTCATAGGTGACTGAAGGCATGTGTACAAGCATGCCCATTTGCCAGTTAACAACAGGCTATTTCTCTCTGGCCAGATTACAGATGCAGTTCTTAGCTTAGAACCTTTGTGGTGGGCATTCCTTTAAAGTGGCCTTCTTACAGATTTGGATCACAAGCTAGCTTAGTAAGCAAAGAATTAGAACAAAGGCAATTAGATGTTTTTGAGAAACACTATCATTAGCTAGGGTAGCTGGATTTGTTTCCCTTCTCCAGATCAGGATGTCTAGAAAATCAGGATTGGGGCTTTCAAATCAGAGAAGAATCTCCTTTGAACCAGCTGGATATACCCTAAAAATTCTTGTTTCTTGGCCTATCTTTAACTAGACTCCATACAATGTACTTCGGATATCAAATTGGATATGTTAGATGATTGGATTAACTTACAACTTCATTTGCATTAAATACATTCCAGTTCTGAAGATAGATCCTAATTGATCACCTTGATTAGACTGAGAAACTCTAGTCTCAAAACCTATTCTCCTAGGGAGTGCCTCAAGAAGCATTCTAGTCTCTGTATCTCCATTTATAAATTGCCTCTTAATTTGAATTATTTGGCAAGTGGCTAAAAGCATCTGTTCTTTATTGATTTTGATGGATTCCATTTCAGAGAGTGACTTTTTCTGACCTTGTTACCAAATTCAAGGGAAAGACACCATAATGTTAACCCTCCTAAACATGACCAAAATAGTAAAAAGTTTCCAAATTTATATTTACAAATATATTTTAAATAAATATATATTTATTTTTTAATAAATATGGATATATATGTGTAAATATACATATATATATCCATCCTTGGGAAAGAGCATGAGAATTAGGAACTTCAGGATAGGGTCGCCTGGCTGGTTCAGTCAGAGGGGCATGTGACTCTTGATCTTGGGGTCATGAGTTCGAGCCCCACGATGGCTATAGAGATTACTAAAAAAAATAAGTAAACTTAAAAAAAAGAACTTAAGGATAATAAAAATATAAAACCAGAAAAAGCAAAGAACAGCAACTGCCTTCAGCTCAGGTCATGATCCTGGAGTCCCAGGATCGAGTCCCGCATCGGGCTCCCTGCTCAGTGAGGAGCCTGCTTCTCCCTTTGACCCTCCCCCTTCTCATGTACTCTCTCTCATTCTCGCTCTCTCAAATGAATAAATAAATCTTTAAAAAAAAAAAAAGAAAGAGACACGGAATTCCATGGCAGGTGGTAGGAACAACAGTGCCGCCTCCGTCTACAGGGCCTGTGAGTTGTGTCTGGTCCTATGTAATACGTAATAGCAGTGTCCTCAGGCCTGCTCCCACCTCTGCCCTTCCTCCAAGGCCACCTTCTCTCTGCTGCCCTTCCAGTCTGCTCCCTTTTCTGTCCTACTGAACTTCCCTTGGCCTCTCACCTTTGCTTTCTTCCATTGCCCAGCCGTCTGCCACCCAGACTCCCCGGGATCATCCATGTGGTCTTTTACTTGGCCCCATCCCGCCTTCTCTCCCTCCTTTCCCTTCCTGGTTTCTTGCTCCTGTCTCCAGGCCTGCTGTCCACAGCTCCTTGGCCTACAGAGGATGGCTCTATAGCAAGAGACAAGGCTGCAGCCAAGCCCCATGTCTACTGCCTGAGCATCGACTGCCCGTTCAGGTGACTTCTCATGGGGAGTCTTCTGGAGAGTCTCCCTCTCTGCCGTGTGGTTCCTCCTCCTCAGCATGTGCCCTTCTACAGGCCTTCTGTTCCTTAATCAGAAATCTTGTGACCTTCACTTTGCTCCTTACCATCTCTCCATACTTGCTAATACTCCTTTCCTCTCTTCACCTCTCTCCTCCATTCTTTTACCTTTCCTGTGGCTCTGCTCACCCATCTACATAGAAGGGCCGAGGTGCCAGGGACTGGAGGTTAGCAAAGCAAATCACAGCAAAAGCCACTCACTGAGTGTCCACTCTGTGCCAGATGTTGTGCCAGGCACTGAGAACACAGCAGTGAACAAAGCGACCGAACCCTTACCCTCAGGGGAAGCTTACATTGTACTGGAAGGAGACCGGCAATAAGGAAGGTAATACAGGAGATAGAATGTCAAGTGACGTTAAATGCTATGGGGGAAACTTAAGTCAGGAAGGTGGATGCAGACCGTACAGGGATGGGAGCTCTACGGTTAGGTCAGTTGCTTAGAGAAGGCCACACTGAGAAGGCGATATTTGCGTAAAGATCAGAAGGAGGTGAGGGAGTGACCAGGACGATATTTGGGGGAAGAGCATTCCAGACAGAGCCAGTGGCACATGCACAGGCCTGGAGCCGAGAGTGTGTCTGGCAGGTTTGAGGACAGGCCGGGAGGCCAGGGTGGCTCCAGGGCAGTGAGCGAGAGGGAAGGGGAGCCGCTGGGGCAGGGTGGGGTGTGCTGGGCCCCTCTGAGCAGGGGGGCAGCACCTTCAGCTTATTTTTGTGAAGTGCCTTGAGGCCAAATGGATGAATGCTGTAAAATCGGAAATGCCTATAGCCCAAAGGAGTTGTGTACCCAGCCACCTTTTTTCCTCCATCAGAATGAAGTGGTAAGCCCCATCTCCTCACCACCCCTCTTCCCTGGAAAGCAAAGGTGTTGATCTTGATCTGCCCTCATCGGCCCCCCTACTCCCCCCCCCACCCCACCCCCGCCACACTGTCTGTGAGAGCCTGCACCTGCCCGCGATGCTCAGCAGCACGTTGCTGAGCTGGAGAGATGGCTGAGGAAGCGGAAAGTGGTTCGACTGGGAGCAATGAGTAGGGGGATGATTCATCTGACCTGTACAAAGCCCGATTGGCTTCTGTAGTTTTGCACAGAAATCCCAGATCTCAGCCGGAATGTCAGTGGTAAGGGCGAGGGTGGGAGAGGGCCGCGGAGTTGCGGGTGGGCTGTGAGCGGTAGCCGCTGTTCCTTGACCGCGCTTGGGCCACAGTGGGCGGGACCCGTGAGAGCCTGGCTGTGTCCTCCAGCAGGTTCTGCAGCCACAGGCATTCTGCAGTCACATGCAGCAGGCTCACTGCAGTGCGCGACACCTCTGACTCGCAGGCACCAGGGCTTGGAACAGAGATGCTGCTGGGGGCTGGGAAGCTGTCTTGCCTGCTGGCGGGGCTCGGGGCTGCGTGCTGGCAGGTGAACAGGGAATGCAGACCCTCACCACCGGCCCTGGAAGGGGCCGTGCCTGCTTATTGTCCTTCTCTGCAGTTCTCTGCGCCGCCAGGGGGGGGCTCAGGGGCTGTCCTCCCTCCTGGTGACCCTCTGCAGTCCCTGTGGGGCACAGAATAGGAAGATCAGTTGCTCTGTGTTCCCTTTCGTTCGGAAAGTCGTTTTGTATCCAAAACCTGGTCTGATGCTCACAACAACCTCATGGAACAGGGAGGCCAGCTATTGTTATCCCCCTGCGGTGGGATTTGGCCCCACGTCTCCTGGGTCTCAGCCAAACCCTCGAACCTCTGTTAACTACTAGAGAGCCTCTCTCCATCACCCCCCCGCCAAATGAGTATAGAGCACAGTTTGGGAAGAAAACTCCGGGTTCATATATCCAGATGAGCCTCAGCACGTGTGTCCCATGAAGATAGAGTTTGATTTCTGCTGACACGTGCTGAGGGACGTCTACCGAGACCCTGGGGTTGCCCCGGGCCGCCTCTGAGGATGCCCGGGAGCGAAAGAGCCCGCAAGTACGGATACCTGGCTGCTTCTGCGTGTGTGTGCGTGTGTGTGTGTGTTTTCTGATCACATATGTTACATAAACTCTAACAAATGTAATACATATGTAACAAACAAAAATGCCCCCAATTTCACCTCCACTCCTACCCCAGGATTACCACTGGCATTGTCATGCATGTCCCTTCAGATCTTTCTTGCCTTTCACACTTCTCCCAAATGAATTCAGGCCGGCCTTACTGCTTTCAAAAACCAAAATAGGATTGAATCATAAAGAGTGTCCCACATATTTTTTTCTTAGTTATATATCGTGGAAACACTCTCCTGTCAATACTCACAGCTCCCTGTCCTTTGTGATGGCACATGTCTTCTGTAGTGTAGGTGAGCTGGTTTAAGCATTTGTTTCTTGATGGTCATTGAGTTGTTTCTAATTTCCAATGATTCTTCAGGGATTCTCAACATAACTCTTTGCATACTGAAGCATTTCTACAGGATAGGTCCTAAGAGGTGTAAATGTTGGATCATGCTGCTTGAACACTGTTATTTTTGTTTAAGATTTTATTTTTAAGTAATCTCGACACCCAACATGGGGCTCAAACTCACAACCCCAAGATCAGGCGTTGCATGCTCTACCGACTGAGCCAGCCAGGCGCCCGGCTTTGAACATTTCTAAATGTTAGTACCACGATGTCCACCAAAAAGTGCGTGCTGATCTACATTGCCTTATCCTTGTGCTCGCTTCAGCAGCACAAACACTACACTGCCCTACCCTCAGTTGACATTGCTTTAATACCCATGAAATATAGGCTCAGTCTCCACAGCAAAGTGTTGAGACCATGCTCTAAATAATTCAAGGACTGGACAGTCTGCGGGGGGGGGGGGGGGGCGGTTCTGTATACCAAAACCACCAATGGGGGCACGACGACACACGTTGCAAATACACTCACCAGATTATTAGGACTCATCCTGGAAAGAAATCATGAGCCCCTGCATGTCTACTAAAAAGGATTCTTACCAGGGACACCTGGCTGGCTCAGTCGGTAGAGCACGTGCCTCTTGATCTAGGGGCTGTGAGTTGAAGCGAAGCCCCAGGTTGGGTGTACAGCCTACTAAAAACCAAAAACCAAAAACAATTTTTACCAGACTCTCAGTTCTGAGACTGTGCCCTGGGTGTTAGGGGATTCCCTCCCAAGGGGCTTGGAGTGTCCCCAGGATAAGGACCGCGGTTCCCAAAGCAGACTGAGGACATTGGGCCAGATGGCCCCTCAGAGTATCAAGTTCATCTTGTAACCCACGAAGTAAACAAGTGCTGTAGCTTACATCACTGAACAGAAGCTTCACGCTATAAAGAGCTCGCTGTGCTCTGCTGTGTTTGAGATCTATTAATCCACCAAATCCTCCCACCTGGCCAGTGAGGTAGGTATTATTATTATCCCTGTTTTACAGATGCGAAGAGTGAGGCACCCAAGAGGCTGATGACCCGCCCTAGATTACATATCCATTGGTAAGTAGCTAAACCAGTATTTGGACCCAGGCAGTCTGGCTCCCGAAGCTGGGCTTTTAACCGTTGTGCTTTGCTGCTCCCCAGTAGATACTGTATTTACAAATGGTGAAAAAAAAAAGTGTTAATATAAGTGAGGATCAGGAAAGTGGTTCCCTGCTTGTTTATTATTTTTATTTTTATTTTTTTAAAGATTTTATTTATTTATTTGACAGAGAGAGACACAGTGAGAGACGGAACACAAGCAGGGGGAGTGGGAGAGGGAGAAGCAGGCTTCCCCCTGAGCAGGGAGCCCGATGTGGGCCTTGATCCCAGAACCCTGGGATCATGACCTGAGCCGAAGGCAGACGCTTAACGACTGAGCCACCCAGGCGCCCCGGGGATGAGATTTTTTTTTTTTTTTAAAGATTTTATTTATTTGACAGAGAGAGACACAGCGAGAGAGGGAACACAAGGAGGGGGAGTGGGAGAGGGAGAAGCAGCCTTCCCACCGAGCAGGGAGCCCGATGCGGGGCTCCATCCCAGGACCCCGGGATCATGACCTGAGCCGAAGGCAGACGCTTAACGACTGAGCCACCCAGGCGCCCTCCCTGCTTGTTTAAATGGACGACCTACGTCAGGTGAAACGTCAGCCCTGATTCCCTGCGAGCAGTGTCCTCGGACCCCAAACCCAGCCTCGGACACCAGAACGTGTTCTGTGTCTCGTGTTTGATCTCGTTGTTGGCCCAGCAGCTAGAGACGAGATCCGCAAAAAACCCCCAGCCCTCCCGCTCCTATACTCTTAACAGCTTTCATAAATGGCTTGTTTAAAGGCTTGTTCTTCTTTCTGGGGGTGGCTAAGGTAGCAGACACCCAAGACGGCCTCCCTGGGAGCAGAAGTGTGCAACACCGAAAGTGTGGAAAGTCTTCCCATAGATCCAGCCAGAGCCCAGATACAGCCCCTTTGAAGGTTTGCTGTTGTTTTGGTTTGGCTTTTTACCCTTTCATCTCCTGGAAGCAGGGTGTCAAGTTCTCAGATTTCATGTTCAGAATGATCACAACGGATCATTTTAAACTGTGATCTGTTGTGTCTATATTACTTGATTATATACACTGATAGCTCTATCCCATACCCTCCCTTGAGAGAGGGAAAAAAAAAAGAGAGACTGGAATGAACAGACCTCTGTTGCAGAAGGGAGCAATAAGGTCCAGAGACGTAGGTTTTTGCAAACGGGAGGAGACAGAGGAAGGGGAGATGTAAGTGCACGAGGGCAGAGAACCTTGTTCTTCTGTTCACTAGTTCCCAGGCTTGGCCGGTCAGCCAGCGCCTGCCTGCACCCCAGAGCGGGGCTGAGGGGGAGAGCTGTGGGTGTCAGCAGAGGGCAGTTTGCAGGGAGCTTCGGAATTGCAGGAGCGCCCTCTCTGCCTTTAAGTGGCTTATTAAATGATGTAAGATTTAATCTTTGCTGTCTGCCTTGGAGCTGAAGCCTGCTCCGAACGGTACCTGGGTGGGGCTTTTCTGATGTACATCTCTAGTCATCACACGCCAAGGTAGCCTGGCGCTGGGGAGAACAAAGCCACCTGCTCCGCACTTCCAGAGTCTCTAGAACTCCAACAATCGTCTCTGCCCTCCCCCCCCCAACATACAGACCACGCACCACTTTCAAAACTCCCAATCCTATGGTGACCGTATTAATCCTAGGGAAGGGCCAGCCTGAAATTAGGCTGTCTTTACTGAAAGAATAGTGGTGCTGATGCTTCAGAGAGCTGTGGGGGAGGGGTGAGTACCCTCCCTCCGTGAACTCCCCCAAAGAAACTGTGAGCATCGGGGTTAGAGAGTGCAGCATCAGCCACGTGGGTATTTTTCCTTGGCCAAGGCCAGGACCAAGGGAGAGAGATGATCACGGGGACTCCATAGCCAGACCCGTTACCCTAACCCATCCTTTGAGTAGGAAAAGCCCCCAAAGTGCAGAAGTTCTTTGTTTGTTTGTTTGTTTAGAATTTCTTTTGTTTAAAAACTGAAAGCTAATCCAAGCTTGGCAGCCCTGTCCTTCCATTGACAAGGGCTGGCTGGTTTCCCGCGCACCCCAGTTCTCCTAGAAAAGGCAAGCAGCTCCTTTGCCAACAAAAGACGAAGTCAATCCAATTCCAGGTATATTGCAGAGATGTGGGGACCGATCCTGCCCATCTGGTCCTGTTCTCTTTGTGTCTCCCTGGCTCTCCCTCCTCATTTCCAGTTCAAATCAGCACCTTTTCTCCTTTTCCTGTTTTCCTTCGCGCTTGGTAGCTCATTAGTTCATTGCTCAGTTTGTTTTGTTTTTTATAAAGATTTTTTTTTTATTTATTTGACAGAGAGACACAGCTAGAGAGGGAACACAAGCAGGGGGAGTGGGAGAGGGAGAAGCAGGCTTTCCGTGGAGCAGGGAGCCCGGTTCAGGGCTCGATCCCAGGATCCTGTGATCATGACCTGAGCCGAAGGCAGACGCCCAACGGCTGAGCCACCCAGGCGCCCCTATTGCTCAGTTTTTAAGGTCAGTTAATTCAGACAGGTGTGGCAGAGGAACATGGTGCAGGAGGAAAATGGACAGACACTTCTACACTCTGGAGCTCAGATGTGGGATTGGCTGGCTCTCTGCTGTCCTCCGGATGCCAGAAATGCACTTTCGAATCTCAGCTGAGGAGAATCCTCCGGATGTGTTCTCAACCTTGCATACATAATAGAATCACCTAAGAAATTAAAAAAAAAAAAAAAAAATCAAGCCTGGGGCTCACCCCCAGTGATTCTAAAATGACCTGGGATAGGGTCCAGGTGTTAGTGTTTTTTAAAAAGCTCCAAGGTTTTCAAAGTCTGTGCAGCAGGCCAGATGCCAAAACCACTGCATTAGTTCACCTAGTGAGAGAAGTGCGTGTGTGTTTCTGTGTGTCTGTGTGTGTGTGTGTTAAGGGGGTGTCCTAGCCAAAAAATAAAAAAGTCTGATAGTAGGGCATCCTTCGTGGGGGGAAGGTCCTTCCCCATGAAGGAGTTGATGGGACCTGCCCCCACCATTGGCTCTTCTCTAATAGCTTTTATGGAGGATCCATCTTTGGACCTCCTCTGTGACAGTGACTGATGATGTCTTTCATCAAGAAAGAGGACGTAAAGCAGAAATGCCAACACATTTAAACACTGTTGTTGATGGTACCGTAACAAGAGTCAAATGAATTTGGAACAAGTTTACCTGAAGCGATCTGTTCCCCTCCTGCTGATACAGGGGGCTGGGAAGGTAGACTGGGATTGTGTTCTACTGAAGTCCAGAAAGTGGGTGTGTGCTTGTGTAATGAGCAAGTGTGCATGTGTCCATTTTGGGTACAGTGAGTTTTGTACACATGTGGGTGTGGACACGCACGTGAGTACTTGCACGGCGGGGTGGGGGGAGGCAGTTTACAACACCGAGAGCAGAACCTCTCCCTGGGCCTTCCTCCAGCCTCAGTGCAAAGTTGTTGACATCATCATTCTTGGATATACTTTTTTTTTTTCCCCCAGGAAAAGCATCCTTTCAGGGTCCACCTAGAGTCCATCTTCATGTGCACCTCCCTCCCTTACCCAGGATCACCACGATCCTAGATGAGGGGGTGAAAGGGGGCTGACAGCAGCTGGGGTGTGCCATGCAAACCACATGCCGTGGCTCCCGGCTATGTTGCCAGGAGGAAGACTTTTTATAATTCACTAAAGGTGCTGGATGAGCTAACACAGCTATGCGTACTCCTTCCTTCTCTGCTAAATTCTCTCAAAGGATCACTGGGAAGGATTTAAATAAAGCAAATTACTCATGTTTTGACGACCACTAATCCTGTCTATATCTTGGCACTCCTGACTTGACTGCTCTTTTCTTTTTTTTTAAAGTAATTCCTACACCCAGTGTGGGGCTCGAACTCACAACCCCAAGATCAAGAGTCAGATATGCTACTGACTGAGCCAACCAGGTGCCCCTTTATTGCTTGCTTTCCTGAGGTTTCCAAACCCCTTTCACCTGAACCCATGTATGACATGGACTATACCCCACCTAGCCCCAGCTTAGAAGGAAATTCTATAAATTCAAGATTTATATCATTTTAAAATACCTTTTTATTACAAAATTATTTTATTTATTAATAGGAAATTTGGAGACTACAGAGAAAAAGGCAAAGAGAAAAATCTATTGTTCCACTACCCCAGACAAAACCTGGTCCTGATAATCTGGGTGAACTTCTCTCTCGCCTTTTAATTTATAGGATTTAAAAGAAAACAAGAATGTAAAGTAGTCATTCATACATAACAATTTTGTATCCTGCCTTTTTTTACTTAGCCTTACATTGGAAGCATTTTGGCATATTCCTACATTCTCTTCATGAGCGTAATTCTTAGTAGCTGCACAATATCCCAACAAGAAGGAGATTATGGTTGAAAATCGCCTTCTGGATTTTTTTTCTGCATTCACCTAGGAGAGGGAGAAAAAGGAAAAATGGCCGGGAAGAGCTTCTGCTGTTCAGGATTCCAAGAAAAGCATCTCCAGGTCTGGTTTGATATTCGGTTATCGTTCTGGTGTGCCCTTCTAATCCTGACCTTCCAGCCAGCATAAAAGAACCTGGCCCCTTCGCAGGGGCTGACTGCTCGGCCGCCAGCAGAGCAGAGGCCCCTTAATTTGAAATGAAAACGATTCTTGCATCCAAGGAGGGAGAGAGAGAGCCTGGAGTTGAAATCTCACCATTATAACTGCAGGACAGAAAAGTCCTTACACCTGCTTCGTCAAACATAGCCCCCAGACAGGGTACTGATCACAGAGTACTTGTCGGTAAGAGGGGCAGGTTCTGAAAGGATAACTTTGTGGGGTCGTAGCTGCCTTGCTGTCGTCAAGGCACGTACTTTCCACTTGGAATTAGGTATTAACTAGTGTTGTAGATCAAGCTGCCTTGAAGAGGAAGCCCTGTTTAGTCAGCTGGGGGACATAAGCTGCTATTCTTTGGAGGCCAGTTTAAAGTCACTTTCGTTAGCTTCAAGAGGTTTTGATTATGGTCGGCCCAGAGAAGTTGATGGGACGGAGCCTGGAGGGATGGCTTGGCTGCCATCCCCCATTCTGCTTTGCTTCGCTGGAAGCTGCAGGCTGCATGCCATCGAGGAGCACTGAAGCGTGAGGCCCGGGGGGGGGGGGGGGGGGGGGGAGCTGTGCAGCTAGCCCCTCCGCCCGTCCCCGCCCCGTCACTCGCTAGGAGACCAGCAGAGCGGAGCGGCACCTGGGTCCTGGCAGGCTCGTCCTGCAGCTCCAAGCCCCGGCCGTGACAAGGGAGACTGAATGGCAGACTCCTCTTGGTGCAGGTGTTTGAGCATTTCACAAGTTTGGATCTGAAGAGTGGTGGAAAGGTGAACTCGTTGTGTGTGGACCTGTCAGCTTCAGTTACCTCAAACCCTCCAAAGCTTGGAGAATGGCCCTTTCGTCCCTCCAAAGGATAGAAGTCTCTTTCTCTTGATGATTCCTCCACCCCCACCCCCACCCTCACTCGTGCCCAAGACAGTGACACCGCCTGCCCGCAGGGACGCTTCCTGAGGGCAGCACCAACGGTGCACGCAGCCCCCTTGCGCCCCTTTGCTCTGGTTGATCGGCTTGTTAACACGCCTCGTACACCTGTTCCCACTCCTGAGCGCCCCCCCCCCCCCCCCGACCGCAGCTCAGCTGTCCCCGGACAATACTTGTAACTTATTACCACCTTGCTCGGACTTCTTTAAGAGTTCTCCATCACTGCCAGTTAAAATGCAAACTCCTTATTCAGTCATTCAAGGCTCCAGAATCTGCCCTTAGCATCCTCCTCCTCAGCAGCTAAAACTCATCAGGCACTCCTTAGAGCAGGTACTGTTGGAAGTTCTTCAGTGTAAATTTCTTTTTTTTTTTTTTAAAGATTTATTTATTTAGGGGCGCCTGGGTGGCTCAGTCATTAAGCATCTGCCTTCAGCTAAGGTCATGATCCCAGGGTCCTGGGATCGAGCCCCACATCGGGCTCCCTGCTCCACGGGAAGCCTGCTTCTCCCTCTCCCACTCCCCCTGTGTTCCTGCTCTTGCTCTCTCTCTCTTTGTCAAATAAATAAATAAAATCTTTAAAAAAAAGATTTATTTATCTATTTTAGAGAGAGAGAGTGCAAGCAGGGGGAGGGGCAGAGGGAGAGGGAGAAGGAGAGAGAGAACCTCAAGCAGACTCCCCATGGAGTGCGGAGCCTGACTCGGGGTTCGGGGCTCCAGCAGGGCTCGATCTCACAATGCTTCACCGCCCCCCCCCCAGATCATGACCTGAGCCAAAACCAAGAGTTGGATCCTCAACCGATGGAGCCACCCAGGCATCCTTACCTGCTCTTGTTCTTAAGCTCTTCCTCCCATCTAGAATGTTCTTTTCTTTCTTCAAACTCTGTTCAGCCCATTCCAGCTCACAGAGATCTCTCTCCTGAAATCCTCAGACTCTTCTAGTTGGATTCTCTCATCAACATCTAATTATAAATTGTCTTGAATGGTGACCGCTTTTCTTTTTTTTTAAGATTTTATTTACTTGACAGAGAGGGACACAGTGAGAGAGGGAACACAAGCGGGGGCGGGGGGTGGGAGTGGGAGAAGCAGGCTTCCCGTGGAGCAGGGAGCCTGATACGGGGCTAGATCCTAGGACCCTGGGATCATGCCTAAGCCAAAGGCAGACGCCTACTGACTGAGCCACCCAGGCGCCCAGTTGACCACTTTTCAAGTGTATTTGTCTTCAAAATGGATAACTGTCTAGATGGCAGGGACCAGCCTGACACTTCTTGGTGCCAAAGCATCATTCCCTTCTCACGGCTGGTCTTCACTGTTTGTCAAATGAATGTTGAAATGCAGCATGCATTTTCTACTACTGAGCTGAATAAGGAGGCTTATTCTCTGGAACCCACGTAAAAGCCAATTCAGCAACATCTGAATTCACTTTTTTACGTGATTGGGTGTGGAAATAGTCCTATTCTTAAATCCCCAGTGGTAAGCAGAGATAAACTTGAGCTTTATTGTTATCAGCTCCTTAAAGATTCCCTTACCCTTCTCCCCTCCAAGAGATGATGCAAATAGGGCACTGCAAACTGGATGTTAATTACAGGCAAATCCTCCCTGGCAGAGGCTGGCCACAAAGGTGAAGTCGCTCCTTGCTGCCTGATAACACAGGGTCGCTGGCCCTGCAGATCAGAAAAAGAGAATTTGCTTCTCAGGGGAAGCCATTAAGGGGGCCAAGCCAATTGGTATGGGCAGTGTTTACTGTTCTTATGATGTTGCATCTGGACCAGCTGTTCATTTAGGAGTTTTTAATTGACTAGCCCACCACCTATAAAACTCCCTGGAGCCAACGGAGATAGGCAATAAGCCCATGGGACAAACTTGAAACCTTTGAAATTAACTAGGCATGAGATGGTCCTGGAACAGCCCAGGAAACTTGCTCCCAGCGAAGTCAGGGGGCTGTTGCGTTGAGGGCAGACAGGATCTTTCCAAACTGGCTGCTCCATTCCCTCAGCTTCTAAACAGGTCACTTACAAGCAGCCATTTGGCTGTATGTGACTCACAGACACATTTTGCCTGGCCTGTGGACTGTTATTGTTTTTTCACAACATTTGAATTAGTTGCCAACACTTAAAAATTAGGAGGTTTCACATAAAAGTCTGGATTTTTGGGGCACCTTGGAGGCTCAGTTGGTTAAGTGTGTGACTTGATTTCGGCTCAGGTCATGATCCTGGGGTCCTGGGATTGAGCTCGTGTGCTCTCTCTAATAAGTAAAATCTTAAAAAAAAAAAAAAAAGACAGAAATCTTAGGGGCTCAGGGACTTCCCTGCCCACCCTCACTCATGCTCATTGCTGGGTCCCCCAGGCAAACAAAGACACCCACTCCACCCCATCCCATTTTGCTTTACAGAAACCAAATCATTTCACACTTTGGCTTGAGAAAATCATCACTAATATGCTACATGGTTTAAATTTTCTTTTTTTGTGTGTTTTTAAAAACTAGTATTGAATCCACAATGGGAATATGTTTTGAACTTGAGACAGGCCCTAAGAAGAGCGAATAATGCACGAGTGGGGAAAGGAGCCTTTGATTAAGAGGAAGACTTTGGAGTCAGTTCTGCCACTAGCTGTGGGCAGTAACCTCAGTATCTTCCTCCCAGAAATGGGACTGAGTATTTGACAGGGTTGTTACAAGAATTGAAGAGATTGGCTGAGAGCAGGTGCTCAGTGAAAGTTAACTCCAGTTATCCTCAACCAGAGAACGGCATCTGTTCTGGATTCTACAAGCTCATTCCTATGGGATGTGATCCTCGGTGACCAGAAATTCAGAGATCAGTGTCAATGAAAAATGCCTTGTCTCCAATACACTACGGACGTTTATTTTTGTTTTGTTTTTTTAAGATTTTATTAGAGCACGAGCATGTGAGCACATGAGCAGGGGGAGGGGCAGAGGGAGAGAGAGAGAGCCAGATAAGCAGATTCCCCGCTCATCAGGGAGCCCAAAGCGGGGCTCAATCCCAGGACCCCGGGATCATGACTTGAGTCCAAGGGCTTAACCGGCTGAGCCACCCAGGTGCCCCGGGCCCTAAGATTTCTAAGAGGAGCAGCTTGTAGACTGCAACTAATGTTGCTATAAATTTGTTGCAGCTTGGGAAGAAGTGATGGAAATTATCTCAGGTGTGTTTGGAGGACATGTAAATTCACTTTTTTTTTTTTTTTTACTAGTCTTTAATTTTATCTCTTCAAGCTTTTCTGAGATTTAGAAATCGGCTTCTAATTCAACTGGTTCTAAACTTCCTCTGCTAACAACTCCCACCTCTCCCTGACCCCACCCCATCTCATCCAAGTCCAGCACCAGCTTTTGGGGACCTGGGAACCACTGGCTATAAGGTCAGTTGGGAATTTAGGAGGTGTGGATGTCGGAAATAAAGGTGTTAAGAAAAGGGGAGGAGGATTTGGTTTTGGCTTTAAGACACCGGAACTTCCAAGGTTCCTGCAAAACCATTTGGAGCTTTTGCAAACCCTCAAAGTCATCAGCGCCCCACTGCGGAATCCAAAGCTAAGCTTGTCACAATTGTTAACACCTTCTTTGAACAGTCTTTTTATATTTGATAATTATTCTCTTCTGCGCCTCTTTTTTTCTTTTTGCCGGCAGGAAGGTTCTGCTGTCTTGGTTTTAGGGAGTACCCTATACAGCGAGCAGCCCCTCGGCGTGCCGCAGTCGGGGGAAGACTTCCATCGCCTCGGCGGTTTTGCAGAGTGAGTAGATCGCGAGGCTTAGAAAGCCGGGCGCGGGGGAGGCGGAATGGAGAGTTAACAGTTTTGGAAGTCGCTAGGGGTTATACTGAAAGTTAACAACGCCTCAGGTTCTGGGTTGAGCACAATGACCGCCTCCTCCTGGGCAGCTGGCCCCGGGGCGAGCGCGGAGGAGCGCGGCCTCTGGCCGCCGTGGGGGAACCCGCCTTCCAGGGCGCAGAGACCGAGGCCGGAGCCGCGTGCACGCGGGACCCCGCGTCCCGCCGAGCGCCGGCCGCGTGTAGCTCCCTCCGACTGAGCCAATAAGGGGGTGCTCCTCGCGGCCCTCGGGGGAGCCCTCCCACTCTTCCCAACTTTCCCGGCCCTAGGGCCGGAGGAGGGCGCCTCTCCCGGCGGGGACGCGCTCGGTACTTAAAGGCGGCTCCGTGGGGCCGGCGCTCGTCAGTCGGAGCGCGCGGTGGCGGCGGCGGCGGCGCACCGGGGAGAGAGAGAGGCGCGGCGGCGGCGAGGAGCGGGAGGAGGGGCATGGAGCCGCCGCGGGCCTGCTGAGCACCGGAGCGCGGGCAGCCGGCGGCACGGTGAGCGCGGGCCCGGCCAGCCGGCCACATCCGAGGGGCGGGCCGCGCCGCGCGGGGGCTGCGCCGGGCTCCAGGGGTGCCGCTGGCCGAGCCCGGCTGACCCCCACCGCCTACCCCCTACCTCCCGCCCCCCACACCCCCGCCTGTGCGGGCGCTGCGTCCGGCGCCCGGAGGCCGGCTGAGGGCTGCAGTGTCCCCAGGCTTCCCGGCGGTGGTTCCTGCAGCCCCTTCCCCACTGACCCCTCCTCCCTTTCTTCCTCCATCCTCTCCTCCTCCAGCCTCTCCTCCCTTCCTCCCTTGCGGCTTCTGTTTTGTGAATGGATTAGGGGGCGGACGGCGGTGCGGGGCACGAGGCTGGTGGGAGTCTCTCCCTCCCCCACTCCTGCCGGGGGGTTCGCACCTGTCCGGCACCAGGATGCCGGGCGGTTTGGGCCCTGCGGGTCAGCCGGGCCACGGCCGCCTGTATCTGCGGGCCCTGCCTCCCCTTCCCTAGCCGGCTCGGAGGGGCCGGGAGGGCGGGCGGGCGGCCAGGCGCAAGGGAAAAAGCCCCAGCCCCGCGCGCAAGTTTCCCATCCCGCCGCGTGTGGGCCCCGTAGCAGGGCACACCTGTCAGCTGTAGAGGCCGCACACCGGCAGCCCTGCAAAGTTTCGGGTGTAGATTGGCGGCGTGCGTCCTTGGCCGAGGGTTTTCTCCTTCAGTCATCTGGGGGGAGGTGTCTTAGCGCCCCCCAACCTAGTGCCCTTGAAGCCGGGTGCGCATTAGCCTACGGGTTCCGAGCTCTAGCGGATCCCATCTGAACGAAATGGGGGTGGGTGAGAGGTGGTCGAGGCTCCCCTCTCCCCGCTTGAGGTGGCACGGCCCCCTATCTGGGCAGTGGCGCCTCTGCCAGAGCCCGCACCAGCACCTAATTGCTCGTGGGGTTTTGGCTGCGGGACATTTTTGGTCTTCGGTGGGGTACGGGGTGCCAGGGTAGTGCCTCCAATTCGTGTGCGGGGTTTGGGGGTCCTGCCCGCGAGAGGAAGGGGCCGGCGACACCGGAGATGCTGCCTTTGTCTGCAGGCACACTTTGCCAAGGTAGCTGGGGCCCAGAGGAGATGCGCGGGGCCTGGTCCGGCTGATTCCTCGGGTTTTCCGTTCCTTCCCTGCTGAGTCGTGGGAAACCGGCACGTGGGTGTGGCCGGCGCCGCCTTTGCCAGAAGGCGAGGCTCAGGCGGGGGTGAGAAGCCTGGCGAGTGCCTTCCCGGCTGCATTAACCTGGTGGGCACCGCCTCCGGCATTGCACCGAGGCGGGGCGCCAGCACCCGGCAGGTTGCCGGGCTGGCCGCGGCGGCCCCGGCCCTCTCCCAGAGCGCAGGTGGGCAGTGGTGCCCAGCGGCGCCCCTTTGGCGTGTAAGGTCTAGAGGACTACGGGGCGGGCGGGGGGAGCGGTGCTCCTGGAGTGGGTGCAGGGCCTGGGGGCCCCTGAGCCGCAGGCGGACTGAGGGGGTGGGTACCGGGGAAGGCTGGGAGTCCTGCAGAGGAAGCAGGCTCCCAGGAATGGCGGGGCACAGCGCCTAGAGGCCGAGCTTCCCGAAGCCGCGAGGCTGCCAACAGCACCTTCGGGACCGCAGCTGCTGGAATGCTGCTGGTGCCTGAATCTAGACGGACTTAGGCAATGATCGCGTGTTCCTCACCCATCCTATGTGGCAGGTGGCAGGGGAACGGGCACTGTTCCCCTTGCAAGAAGGTGCATTTGTGTTGGAGCGGGGCTCAAGGGTTGGTTCCAGTAAGACCTAGAGTTGGAGCAAGCTTGGAAGCGAGACCCCGTGGTCTGTAGAGGTGGGTGGGTGGTGGTGGAAATGGGGTTCTCCAGATCAGGCAGGTGGCAAAGAGAGGAGATGGGAAGGCGTGGGTCAGAATGAGGAGTGGGGAGCTGTCCTCATCAGCCCCTCCTCTCTTCCCCAATCAGCCTTCCCACCTGGGTCCTCCTTCAGGGCAGGAAGTGCTGCTAATTTACTGGAAATTATTTACCTGAGACCTATGGAGCAAGAAACCATTAGAACCCCCCCCTTGGGGGACCCCAAGTCTCAGACCACTTGGGCAGGGTCAGGCAGCCAGGAGGTGGTAGAGCTGTGTCTCAAGCACAAGTCTTTGGTGCTGAGTGCTAAGCTGTTTTCATTAAAACCCAGATGTTGCCAACAGGGCAGCTGCTGGGAGGCCGGACTTAGGGCAGGAGGAGTGGCAGGGGCCCGAGCACTGAGGTGCCATGCGGGCACTAGGACCAAGTGGATGGGGCTTCCCGGGCAGCCAGCCCTCCCAGGCTGCTGCAGTGGTGGCTGCAGTTCCCTCTGGCGCCCCGGCCGCTGGGCTTCCAGGAGAGCGGTCCACACCCCAGCTCTCATTTCCTCTTTCCTGGTCTGCTTTTCCCCGTTGCTTTCCCTTTCTTTCCTGCCTCCGGTAGATGAGAAAAAGGGGAGACAGCAGAGAACACAAGGAAACTTTCTTTAAAAAAAAAAAAAAGATTTTATTTCTTTGACAGAGACACAGTGAGAGAGGGAACACAAGCAGGGGGAGTGGGAGAGGGAGAAGCAGGCTTCCTGCTGAGCAGGGAGCCCGATGCGGGGCTCGATCCCAGGACCCTGGGACTGTGACCTGAGCCAAAGGCAGACGCCTAACTGAGCCACCCAGGCGCCCCACAGGGAAACTTGCTCTTACTGATTTTGCTGTTTCAAGTGCGAGAAGTTGCCCCCCCCCCCCCGTCTTTATGTTTCCTGCTGTTTCTCATCTTTTCCTCCCCCACTTTGTTCACGGGCCTCATGGTTCCTGTGCTTTACTTCCCCTCCCTCTGCGCAGGACCCTGGTGGGTACAAGGCGGGTAGAAGCTCTTAGCTTCTGGCTGCCTCCCTGGTCGTCCTCCCTCCCGGGCCCCTCGCCTGCTCAGGGCTGCCTCCGGCTCATCCCTCCTGAAGGTTGCCTAGAAGGGCTCTGGGTCAGGCAGATCCCAGGACCGCCACCCACCAGGTGGGCATCACAGAGCTCTTTCTGGCTTTGGTTTGTCTAACGAGAATAAATGCTACTCGAACTGCTAAATTTACGTATGTAATCCATTTCACCCTCAAAGATGCTACAAGGTTAGTGCTGCAGTCCACGTGTCACAAATGAATGAACCGAGGGGCAGGGCAGAGTCCCACAGAGTGGAAGTGGCGGAGCTGGGATTCGAACCCCAGGGGCCTGGCTTCTGAGTCTACACACGGTCTTAGTCACGCTCAGTCAGGGGCAAAGGTTTTGATGAGTGGCTCATTTCCCCCGTTCTGGGCCTGCCCGAGAAAACAGCCCCACTCGCACTGACTGCCTCCTGACTCCACACCTCCCTCCGTCTCCCACCAGATGCCGGTGCAGCTGACGACAGCCCTGCGTGTGGTGGGCACCAGCCTGTTTGCCCTGGCGGTGCTGGGTGGCATCCTGGCAGCTTACGTGACGGGCTACCAGTTCATTCACACAGAAAAGCACTACCTGTCCTTCGGCCTGTACGGGGCCATCCTGGGCCTGCACCTGCTCATCCAGAGCCTGTTTGCCTTCCTGGAGCACCGGCGGATGCGGCGGGCAGGCCGGCCGCTCAAAGTCCCCGCTGCCCCGTCGCGGCGCTCGGTGGCACTCTGCATCGCCGCCTACCAGGAGGACCCCGACTATCTGCGCAAGTGCCTGCGCTCAGCCCAGCGCATCGCCTTCCCTGACCTCAAGGTGGTCATGGTGGTGGATGGCAATCGCCAGGAGGACGCCTACATGCTGGATATCTTCCATGAGGTGCTAGGCGGCACTGAGCAGGCTGGCTTCTTTGTGTGGCGCAGCAACTTCCATGAGGCGGGGGAAGGGGAGACGGAGGCCAGCCTGCAGGAGGGCATGGACCGCGTGCGGGATGTGGTGCGAACCAGCACCTTTTCGTGCATCATGCAGAAATGGGGAGGCAAGCGAGAGGTCATGTACACGGCTTTCAAGGCTCTTGGCGATTCAGTGGACTACATCCAGGTAAGCGCACCTTTGCCAGGAATGTGCGGCCGTGTGGACACGTCTGGCTGCCTGGGCATACTGGGCAGGAATTTTAGGTCCGGTTAAGGTCCCCTGTGTTGTGTACATCCTTCCTCGGAACTTCAGAAGGCAATGAGGTAACTGCTGCTCCGAACAGCAGTCCTGGGGTCATAAAGCCCAGGGATGGAATCCTGGTTCTTCTCGTCCTTCGCTCTGTGCCTGAGGGCAGGCCTCTGGACTGGTGTGCCAATGCTAGAAAGAGCTAACGAGCGGACAGCACTTAAGTCAGACCACACCCCATTGTAGGCACTTCATACATGTATTTATTTATTTATTTATTTATTTATTTAAAAGATTTTATTTATTTATTTGAGAGAGAGAGAACACATGAGAGGGGATAGGGTCAGAGGGAGAAGCAGACTCCCCGCCGAGCAGGGAGCCCGATGTGGGACTCGATCCAGGGACTCCAGGATCCTGACCTGAGCGGAAGGCAGTCGCTTAACCAACTGAGCCACCCAGGCGCCCCTCATACATGTATTTTTTTAAAGATTTTATTTCTTTATCTGTCAGAGGGAGAGAGAGAGCACAAGCAGGGGGAGCGGCGGGCAGAGGGAGAAGCAGGCTCCCTGCTGAGCAGGGCGCCCGATGCAGGACTCGATCCCAGGACCCTGGGATCGTGACCTGAGCCGAAGGCAGACGCTTAATGACTGAGCCACGCAGGCGTCCCTACATACTAGTTCTTTTAACCCTCATAATATTGCTAAAGAATAAATACTCTTACTCTTGCCATTCATGGAAGGTGAACCTGAAGCCCCAAGAAGTTAAGGAACTTGCCTAACGTCACACAGCAGTAAGGTGCAGAGATGGGATTTGAGCCTAGGCGGTCTGCCCGTATCCACTGTGCCTCAGCACCAGTAACGTGGGGATGAATCTCTCCATAAGGAGGTGTGGTGAAGAGCAAAAGAAATCATGCTCCAAAGCACTCAACTATTGTTTGTTATGGGCCAGAGAGCCCTACTCTACCCAGTGTCAAATTGGTGTTTGTGAAGTGGGGGGGACACAGCAGTGACTCATCCCCCAGCTTAATTCTGCAGCAGTCTTGGCAGGGCTAGGACCCTGAGCAGATCCACAGTTAACACAGCTCCCAATTTTCAAATAACAGAACCTAGAAAGAACTGATGAAAAGCTCACACACTTAAGTGCCAAGTAGAAACTGCACCCAGAACCCCAAGTTTCCGGTCCAGCATCCGCATGTCCGTTTCTCTGTCGGATTCCTTCTCCACACATGCCAGAGGGTTTTGCCCAGCACTTGAATGAATAGCGGCTGTCATGGCCGCCCACCTGAGTACCAGCTCAGTCTTGCTGAGGGCATGTTGAGTACACCAATATTGAAATGTTCTCTACTTTACCTACCTAAAATTAGCTTGCCACAGATGTTTGGTTTTTGGCTTTTCTGGAAGTTGCATCCTCAAGTGAATTGGTACATTGACCCTTTTTCTGTCTTCCTAGGGCCAAGGACCTCCTCGGCCTTAGTAGGGAGGGATGTTGAGGCATTTGATTCTGCAGTTCATCTAGGGTCAAGGGGCCTCTGGTGCTTTCCTGGAGACTCAGAAGGCAGAGGAAAAGCCCTTGAGCTCTGGCACATGCTCAAGCCACAGGGACTCTGTCGTGTCCTCCCTTGCAGCACCAACTCCCCAAACCTGCCACGCATCTTCCTTTACTGATCATTTCCTGTGGATTCATTCTGGTGGATCAGCAAATAGGCTCACACACCTGAGCCAGCCTTTCTCTTGATGGCTCTGGGCTCACTGCCTGGGCTGCCTGGGCAGCCTGGGCTTCAGTTCAATTTGGTGGATTTCAGCCTGTCTTCCAACAGCCTTGCTGTGGGTGTGTCTTTCCCTCTGAGGGAGATAGCCCTGCTTCAGCCAGTGGGGAAACCCATGCAGCAAAGAGCTCTAACTTCCCTAACGCTGCTCTGTTAGAAAGACCTCCCTGGAGTGAAAGAAGCTGAGCAGCATGAGGAACGAGTTAGGGTCAGGGCAGGAAGTAGCCCTGAGACTGGCAGCACTGGAAAGCCTGGCCTGTCAGCTGAAGGGGCTCTGGGAGTCTGGCCCAAAGCTCTCCAGGCACCCTCTCCCAAGGCGTGTTGGTGGGGAGGTAGGAGGGAACTCTGGCTGTCTCCCTTCAACCTTTTGCTCCTTGTCTGTGGCCACCATGTCTTCCAGAATGGCAAGAGAAAACCCAGCAAGGTTGGGGTGTGGGGGGCAGCCCCCTTCCTGCAGGCATTAGCAACTTTACTAAAAGTATTTTGGACTTTTGCAAAGCAAGGTTTGGGCTTATCTGTGGGTACTGTTCTTTGCGCTGTTGTTCTGCCAGTGATGGTCTGGGCTCTCCGTTATCACCTCAGTTGTCTCACAGAAAATAGACAAGGAGTCAGCCAGCAGGATAAGTGTTCATACCTCAGGTTCAACTAATAATGGAGCCACCTGTTAGACCATGAGCCTCCCTAGGGAAGGTGGGCAGTGGGGCAGGATTTGACCTCAGCTCCGGTTGGAGGCAGCTGTTGCCAGCCTCCATGCTCATCCAGAATCAATCCAGGTGTCACGTCAGGATGGCCAAGTGGTTTAGCGTGCCAGACTCAAGCTCCTGAGAATCCAGGTGAGAGCAGCCCTTGGACATAGCATGCCCTGATCATAGAGACTTAGCCAAAGGAGCTCAGGCCTTGCAGCCATATTAGTGGGACACCTATGACTGGGTAGATATATCCTCCACTTTCACTGCAGGTTGTCCAGGAGACCAGAGGTTGAAACTGGGAATACCATGTTAATATATGAGAGGGCTTTGGGCAGTAGCCTCTGGCAAGAGCCATTTCTTCACCTAACCTGGAGTGTCTGCTGGCCTGGGTCTAGCCACTGTACCTGCCATCTGATTTCAGTGTGTACCTCCTTTTCCTCCAGGGAAATGTTCTGAGACCATTTTTGTGGAGCCTGGCTCTATAGAGGCTAAAAACTTGCTCAGTGCTAAGCATTTGTCCCTGACACTGAGTCTCCAGGGTTTCTCTCTCAGCCTAACTCTCCTTTTCCTTGTTATTCATCTCACCTCTTCTGTTTAGCATAGATCTCTTTGCTAGTGGCTGGAAGTGAACCCTTTGAGAGGTGGTTATGTCCCTGAAGCAGTGAGCAGTATGCGATGTACACAGGCCCAAGGTCAAAGTGGGCTGACCATGCACTCCCTCTGCAGGTGTGTGACTCTGACACTGTGCTGGATCCAGCCTGCACCGTCGAGATGCTTCGAGTCCTGGAGGAAGACCCCCAAGTAGGGGGAGTTGGAGGAGATGTCCAAGTACGAAGTAACCAGGGATTCCGGGGGTGGTGGTGGTGGTGGTGGCGGGGCTAGACTCTCTCTGCTTCCCAATCCAATGTGTATGCCTGGGAAGTGAGCATCTTGACTACCTAGTATTTTGGGTGGGTGGGTGTGGGGGGGGGCAGTGTGTGTGTGTGTATGTTTGATAGTTTTCACTAGTATCAAAGGGCTCACTTGGTAGTCAGTCCCTTTTCTGGTCTTTTCCAACCTGAGGAAAAAGAAAATCACTCAACAGGTATGTAGTAGAGAGCCCATGCTGCTGGGAGGGGCTCTGTGTTCTGGGCTCCTGATCACGAAGGGTGCTCCTTGGTGGTGATGCAACAAGCACCTCCCGAGCTGGGCCCTTGAGAAACCCTTGTTCTTAAGGAAGTTGTGCTGAATGGTAAGAACAAGGGCAGTATGGTAAGATTAAGGGGCCAGATCTTCTTCCAGAGGGAATGCTGGTAACACATCAGGTCTTCCTGAGAAGCTTTCCAACTGCAGAAAGGTCAGGATAGATGGCTGGTGGGGGGTGGGGGGGATTGCTGCGCATCCTTCCCGAGTCGTTCTCTCTGCCACCACCACAGGCTGTTTCCTGAGATGGAAGGTGGCTCTGATTGCTGGAGCAACTTCACTGGGGCAGTCAGTGCAGATGGCAGTGAGGTGCTGGGGGCAGTGACTGGGTACCACTGCCTCCTCCCAGCCTCAGGTTTCCCAGCTCTGGCTGGGTTAGGACGGATGGCCAGGTATCTGAGCAGTGGGCTACAGAACCTCAGGGTAAGGGAGGCCTCGTGGCCTCTGGTGTCTGTCTCCCGGGGCTCGAGTCCTCAGGTGAGGAGGCCCAGCATCTCTGGTTCCCTTGCAGATTCTCAACAAGTATGACTCGTGGATCTCCTTCCTGAGCAGTGTGCGGTACTGGATGGCCTTCAATGTGGAGCGGGCCTGCCAGTCCTACTTTGGCTGTGTGCAGTGCATCAGTGGGCCTTTGGGCATGTACCGCAATAGCCTCCTCCAGCAATTCCTGGAGGATTGGTACCATCAGAAGTTCCTCGGCAGCAAGTGCAGCTTTGGAGATGACCGCCACCTCACCAACCGGGTCCTGAGCCTCGGCTACCGGACTAAGTATACAGCGCGCTCCAAGTGCCTCACAGAGACCCCCACCAAGTACCTCCGGTGGCTCAACCAGCAGACGCGCTGGAGCAAGTCTTACTTCCGGGAGTGGCTCTACAACTCTCTGTGGTTCCATAAGCACCACCTCTGGATGACCTACGAATCGGTGGTCACAGGTTTCTTCCCCTTCTTCCTCATCGCCACGGTCATACAGCTTTTCTACCGAGGCCGCATCTGGAACATTCTCCTCTTCCTGCTGACAGTGCAGCTGGTGGGCATTATCAAAGCTACCTATGCCTGCTTCCTTCGGGGCAATGCAGAAATGATCTTCATGTCCCTCTATTCCCTTCTCTATATGTCCAGCCTCCTGCCAGCCAAGATCTTTGCCATTGCTACCATCAACAAGTCTGGCTGGGGCACTTCTGGCCGAAAAACCATCGTGGTGAACTTCATTGGCCTCATCCCTGTGTCCATCTGGGTGGCGGTCCTTCTAGGGGGACTGGCCTACACAGCTTATTGCCAGGATCTGTTCAGTGAGACAGAGCTAGCCTTCCTGGTTTCTGGGGCCATCCTGTACGGCTGCTACTGGGTGGCCCTCCTCATGTTGTATCTGGCCATAATCGCCCGGCGATGTGGGAAGAAGCCAGAGCAGTACAGCTTAGCTTTTGCTGAGGTGTGACGCAGCCCCCCAAGCAGAGTGGGAAAAGTGCAATGGGTAAGGGAGGGGAGGGGAATGGAAGAGAAAAGATGGGGTGGGAGGGAGGAGGGAGTGCTCTTTTAGTTTATTAATGGTCCAAAGGACAAATCTGCAGTGCAAAGAGCGGTGACTGTACTACATGGTCTGGGGCAGTTCTTACAGGAAGCAACGCCATCCAGCTCAGAGGACTATTTTCACGCCACCCATCTGCTTGCCTCTGCATGCTTGGTGGCCGATGGGAAAGATTCCACCTCCTCCCCCAGGATCCACAGGGAACCCAGAAGTGTGCTAAACCAATTTAGTTCCGATCAGTGGCAACTTCTGATAGGTAAGTGACAGCCTGTGGCAAGGGAGAATTCTTAGACCCTCTGAACACAACCAGAGGTGGTGGGAGAACTCCTGAGAGATCTGGACCAGCTAGTAACGTGTGCCCCACCCCCACCCCCACATCTACTATCAATGCAATAAGATTGTGCCTGAGATACAAGGCCCAGAAGCCTGATCTTTGGGCATCAGAAAACAGGGTCCAGGAATGGTGCTTTATTATGTGACATACTCCATTCCACATCTCAACATCCCAAGGATGAACCAAACTAGCAGGGAGTTAGCACTGAACTGCTTTTGAGTGTGTATATATATATCTAGGTTAAAAATGAAAGTCTGCCAGGAAGGAACAAAGATTGGTGGTGGTGCTAAAGGCCAGGGGCTATATGGAGGCCTTGGGCCGAATGTATCTCACCTGGAAACTGCCCGACATCTAGATGAACTTGCCTGTGATCTCTGCTGGGGAGAGGAAATGTTTTGGTCACCTACCGGAAGATGAAATCCCAACATACTCAGAAAGGAAGGGAGGGCTCAGGTACTTGACCCTGTATACTCCCGAATTCCTCTCTCAAACTCCACTGTGAGTTGAAGAGAGCCTCCTTCCTTTGCTTTCTTCGAGGTGATGCAGTCACCTCTCCCACCCTCTTTCTCATTGGGGAAGTTTTTCAAGGTGGCCACTGAGACAGAGCCTGGCTCTCCCAGGCCCCTCTGCCATAGGCACCCCTGCCCTCCGCAAGTGGGGGCAAAAATGATTAAGAGCCTCTGACCAAACTAACTACAATCTTGGAACTGCTTGGACAGATTCCTTAGCAGCTGGCTAAGCGTGCATGACTTTGAGGCTACAGTTCTTGACAATCATCTCCAATGAAAGCTTTTCAGTGTTCCCTAAGTGAAGCCTCAAATCCAAGCTTGTCGTCTTTGAGACTGTCCATTCTCCTCAGTGACTTCTCCAGGGAATTCTTGGCCAAGTTGTGGATAGTCATTATTGTACTTGCTTCTTTCCAGAAACCAAATTCAGAGATAGAATTGGTTCCTAAATCCTAGGATTCTTTCTTTCTCTCTCATGCTCCTTGAAGCTTTGGTTTTCTTCTGCTTGTTGGGGGTAGGGAGGGAAGGCATTTTCTGGAGATTTGCAATCCAGACTATTCTCCGCTCTTGGGTTTGAAGCCTGGGATCTTGACTAAGCCTTTGACTTAGGGGATGCTTGATTGCACGAGTGCCTGCTTCTGCTCTCCAAATGTCCATTCTTAGCAGGGCCTGCTAACCCCTCAGAACCAGCACTAAGGTAGACAGTCGTTGAGGGGGCAAGCCTCTAGTGTGCCCAGGTGCTCCCTACAAAGGAACCAAGTGTGCTCTGAGCCACAGATTGGCAAACCCTGGTGCTTTCTGTCATCTCCCGTGAACACAAGGGTTTTCCAGGTGCAGCCAACATTGCTGATTCACAGACCTCGAGCCTCTGGTAAGACTGCTGGCTGGTGTTGGGCCCGACCCATGAAGGCCGGGAAGAGGCAGCAGGCATTTGCTGAAGGCAGTTGTTCCAGGCTCTTCCGTGTTTTTGCTGGCCAAGTAAACTATTTTGAGCACTACAATGGAGGAAATCCGGTCAGCCAACTGCAGAGCTCAGACTTCACTAAGGGCTTGTTTTTCTTCAGCTTTTACTTGAAGGTTAAGGTAGGATAGACTCCTGGATGGAGAACTCCTGGTTGTCCTACATTCAGCTCTGCCTCGCACTGTGGTCATCAACCGAGCTCAAATCAAGAGTAGGCAGGTACAAGTAGTGGGCTCACAACGTTTGACCTCGACTGGTTTTTCTAAGTTATTTTGTACATTTTTCAGCAGCGAAACCAAACTGGGTCTTCAGCTTTATCCCCGTTTCTTGCAAGGGAAGAGCCTTTATACAACTGGACACATTTTGTTGTTTTCCTCATTGAGAATTTTAAACCCTTTTGTATTCTTTCTACAGTAATTTGTAAACATATTTATTTTTACTTTTTTTTTTTTTTTTTTTTACTTTTCAGGCCAAGTATTTTATACTACACTTGTCAAAATAAAGATTCTCACATAATGCTGGTTATCTCTGAACTACTTCCTCCTTGTACTTAAACTGGTTTTATTCCAGTTTCAAAAGAGGTATTTGAGTAGAAATAGTTTTGTCAAGATAGTTGGCAGTGGAACTCAAACAGGGTAAGTAGTCACAGCTGCCTCTGGACCTGGGGCATACAGCAGGCCCACCTTATTGATAACTGCACAACCTCTGGTGGCTTAACTTTTTTTTTTATTGTTGAGGATGGGCAAGGTCTCTGGTGAAATCACTGGCAGATGAATGAGTCCTAGCTAAGGTTAAAAGTCAACGCTTGCTTCCTGCTTGAGTGACCGCGTTTTACCTGGCAGATAACGTAGGATTGTGGCCAAGCTGAAACAACGAAAAGCAGTGGGTAAAATTCCTTTCCTGTGGGAACAGGTAACGAAGTGGAGTGACATCGGCAGCCCTCTCATCCCATTTATTAAAGAAACGGTAAGAAAAGATACAAGCAGGAGAAAAACCGACCATCCTCTCACATCAGGCTGAACGAAGCACAGTGATATCTCCCCTTTAGCCCTCCCACCCCCCCACCCCCCACCCCCCACCCCAATTCCCATCCACATCAGTTTAAATTTTGAGGTTCTTTGATCAGGAGTACTAGTGGAGAAGAAGTTAGATGAGCAGTGGAGCCTTGACTCTGGCCTCCTCAAAGTCCCAGGAGAAGGAAGCTGCAGGCCCAGTCAATCAAGCAGAAATTGTATTTGGTGGGTCTTGAAGTGGTTGCCCACCTCCCTGTTCTGTGTTCAAGCCCCCAGGGAAAGGTATGGCAGTAGAGGACGACCAGGTCCAAGCTGCCCAGGTCAGAGCTGCTGAAGCACAGTCTGTTCACCAACGCAGTATTTCTAGAGAGCAGTGAGCGGATTCTCCAGTGGTGAGCAGGGGACTACATGTGAATTGGGACCTGCAGGCCAATGTATCCCTGAGGAAAAGTCCACATGAACAATTCAAGAAACTAGTAAGAAACAAGGGGCAGAAAGCTGTGGGACAAAAGCACAGCAGGCTCCTGGAGGGCTGGAGATCCTTTCTCTCAAGGTCAGGATCATTCTCACCTGCCGTTATCCATCTCCCACATAAAACATTTCACCTTCAGTCAAGAAAGCAAAGGAAAAAGATGGCTCATCTGAACTTGAGCCCCAGCTATGTACTTCAGACTGTAGCTCCGCATCTACCCTTACTTGTAACACAGCGCCTGCCCAGAACCATGGTGCCTAAAAACCAAAGTGGTCCTGGAGAGAAAACGGTGTTTAAGGGGGTAACATTCCATTTGGGTACATTGCAGCCATTGGACCCCCTGGTCTGGGGAAAGCAGCTGGGTTTGTGCCAGGGAGGCTCCCCACTCTAGGAAACGGGACCAAAGTCTTGCTTACAGGGCCATTCATCCTTGGAAAGGAAGCTGGGTTTAGACCCAGGGTCCCAGATGGCCTTGCAAAAGGAGCTGGGTTGATACCCACAGAGCCTGCTGGAGAAGAGCCCAGGGGCCCAGGAGCTGACCGGGGGAAAGTAACCTGACCAGGGCCTAATGGGCCAGTAGACCTTGGGAAGGCAGCGGGACTTGGACCCTGCAAGCCACTGGCCCTTGGGAAGTTAGCTGGGTTGGGACCTAGTGGCCCAGAGGTTCTTGGGAAAATTGCTGGACTTGAGCCCTGGAGGCCAGCAGACCTCTGGAAGGTAGATGGATTTGAAGCCAATGTGCCAGAGGACTGAGAGAAGGCAGCTGGATTCAGGCCCCCTGAACCTGTCCCCCTTGGAAAGGGATTCGCATTTACCCCCATGGGCCCAGCTGGCCTTGAAAAATGAGCTGAATTAGGACCTATGGGGCCAGGAGCCCTGGACATGGATGGATTTGGCCCTGGAAGGCCAATTCCCCGAGAGCCAGGACCGGAGTTTGGGCCTATGGGGCCAGGTACTCTTGCCATAGAGGATGGGCTTGTGCCCATGTTTCCAGAAGCCTGTGAGAAAGCAGCTGAATTTGCTCCTAAAAGACCTGCTGCTCTTAGAATGGGGGCAAGATCTAAGCCTTGAGGTCCAGCCATTCTTAAGTTAAGACCAGATCCTGTGCCCAGGAGGCCACCCGCTCTGTTGTCCACATTAGGGCCTGGGCCCAGGCCACCTGCCCTTGGGTTGGGTCCAAGGCCTGGGCCCAGGCCACCTGCTCTTGGGCTGGGCCCAAGGCCTGGGCCTGGAAACATACCCGACCTCGGGGCAGGGTTTGTACCAACAAAGCCTGACCTCAGATTGGGACTTGGTCCTGGTCCCAGGCCAACGGGCCTAGGATTAGGAGGACCATTCCCAGGAGTCAACAGGACACCTGCTCTCAGGTTGGGCCCAGGCCCAGGGCCCATAGGGCCGCCACTTCTGGGGTCAGGACCCGTTCCCAGGAGACCACCTGACCTTGGGTTGGACATAGGACCCGGCCCTGGGAGACCCCCTAACCTTGGGTTAGACAGAGGCCCTGGACCTGGAAGAGCCCCTGCCCTAGGGTTTAGAGATGGCCCTGGGCCTGGGCCCAAAAGGCCACTGGGCCTTGGGAAAGAAACTGCACCTGCACCAGTGGGATTCATCCCTCTTGGAAAAGAAGCCATGCCTGGGTCACGAGCACCAGCAGG